CACACACACACACACACACACACACACACACACACACACACACACACACACACACACTTCATAGAGCTGTTCTCTCATTGCTATCTCTGGGGGATCATTTAGGGTGAGATAAAGCCTGGATCTGAGGATCCATGGGGAGCCTGTGCTAATGATCCAGCCACATTAATGGACAGACACACATACAAAACACACACTCACAAAGCAATCACGCTCTGCATATAAATAAATGCATTAGAAGCTAGTGGACATTTCTTTCTTGAATCGCTCACCAAACATTTTTATTGCCATACAAGAAACAAAAAGTAGAAGATTAAACATTTCAGCTTTCTAATTAATCCCGATAAGCAGTCAGTTTAGCTCTAATTCATACCTTAATGCATGTAACAAAATCTCCACATAGTAAAATTTGTTTGACCCACACGATGCGCCACACACTCTCAGATACCACAAAGAATGTTGTGTGTTGTTGTACACTGTTGTGGCTGAGCATAGGCCAGCACCACATTAACCAAACCACAACTGGGTCAGTTGTGGCCTGCTCTCTTCAAAACATTTTCGTTGTTGCCAGACCTGGCACAAATCCAGTTAACAAACAACTTGCCAGTAGTCAACCAGTATAGTGTCAGCTCAACACCAGATCTGGCCCACACCTGTCTGCTATGTGGGTAGCATCATTTTTATCAGCCAAGCAAACAAAGACCCTGATGACTTGAGAGGAGGGAGTTTAATCTGCATGTGAATCTAGATTAGTGCTTCAACATAATAGTTTAAAAAAATCTACATAGAGAGGTGGTTTCATTTATTATTATTTAACCATTACAGCCAGGAGAAGACCTTTGAGGTTTAAATTTTCATTTCTGAGATTGACTTGTCCTGAAAATGCACATTGCCTGTCATGGAGATTGACCCAAATTTAAACCAATCGAACTTTGAGACAGTTTTATCCATCCTTAAAATGAATGATGTCATGCTGTATTCATCCAAACAAATATACATAATGCACCTTAAATCATAGAAAAAGCAGACATTACACAAGTAATTGAATTAATCTTGACCATTAAACTGCTTCCAGAAACCCACAAAGTAGAACA